CCGAAGACTGCAGAATCCGATGCTACGGTAAGCGAGATGAAAACAAACAAACAGATACACAGGCGCAAATCACCCTAGAGCACAGAAAGCGACAAATGTGTGTGTATGGGCCCCATCTGTCTACTCTACCCTCTGCCTGCCCCGACCACCGCAGCCACGCAAGTGCTGATCTATGGCGGACGCCAGGACGTGGAAGTCTTCCAGCGCAATCTGCGGCATGGCCACTCGGTGCGAGGCAATACCCGGGTACCCCCAGTTGTCGAATGCCGATCAGAAGACTCGCGCTTCACGGTGTTCAAAGGCTACAACCGCACACAGTACTCATGGGCTCCTGGCCTTACGGTCCAGCAGGTTGTCATCGGCAAGGACCCGGAGCACGTAGTGTGGCCCCAGCTGCTGACCGACCCTGATTGGACCACTGCTGGGACTAGCGATATAGCGATGACCAAGCCCATGCAAGCAGGAATTATCTACCCACTGAGGCGGATGCAACGGGCTGGAGCCACTGCTTCCCAAGAAAGGTGCAGCACCTCCTACGGTTAGAATGCTCTGCCTTTTTGCGTGACAGCAATTCGATATTGCTCACAGGGCGGCCAGGCACAGGCAACATACCACATCGCAGCGCCCTTGCGGGTCGTGTGCTGGCTGCACCTGTGTGTGCACCGCCTGCCAGCGCGGTTACTCCCTCCCCGCGCCCCCCGTGGTCTTGCGCAGTTGCCGGAAGGCAGCCCTGCCTCCCTCGCCCTTTCAGGCTCCAATGCCAAGTCAACCCAGAACTCTCATGCCGGGTGCTCTCCCCCGCCCTCCTGCTCCCCTCGTCCCTCTCCGCAGGTGGGCATAGATCAAGATGCAAGCAGGGAAGCGGATCCCCTCTTCCTCAGCGCCTCCACCTTCGACGCCTGCCGAAGCCGGAGCACAAGAGAACCTGCCCACATGCACTTGCTAAGACCGCCAGGGATGCCAGACGGCAGCTCCACGCATGGAACGCGGACCGCCCGCCAGCGCAGGAAGACGCCTCTGACATTACGCGGCTTTGGAGACTGATCAGAACTTCCCTGAACCCACCTCTGATGGAATACTGCCTCTGCGGGCGGCCGTTGGTATGGTCACTGGCGAGCGTCTGCGACTAATCGGGGAATCATAGAATTGAGAGGTGCGTGCACGGGCATCCTATTGCAGGAGGCCAAGCCTCACCTGACTGACTTGCCACAGCCCTACCATGAGCTTGGTCCCACGATGAAACTGGTGTTAGACATGTGGCTTCCCCTCCTGCCACTTGAGCGCCTCGTTGATATGCTTGGCTGCCAGTTCAAAGCCATGGCATTAGAAGCAGAGGTTGAGGAGGAGCCTTCGAAGCAGTATCACTGCCCGGAGCAGGCAGCCGTCAAACGCGCCACCACACCCACTGCCGTGAAGCCAGGAGCCAATACGTGGCCTATCGACCTTCTTTATCGGGTCTGTCCAAGGGCAACAGGCACTCTTCTCACACCAGAATTGGCAGAAGTTTCTGACAGACGCAGAATGTGGTTTGCTGTCGCCGGCAAAGTACCCGCAAGGGCACTGCGTTGCTGGTCACTCTGAGCGAAGGCAGTCGTGACACGACCTACCCTGGTGTGTTCACCGCCCCTAGGAAGCTTCGTACCAATACGGGCAAGACCAAAGCAATGCAGTCCGTCAACCTCACAATTGCCCTGCTGCTGTCTGATGATCAGCACAACCACCTAGCTCTCTCTTGTATCTGTGTTTCAAAACTGGCCTCTGTTGTGGCGTGGCCTCTGGCTGTTTGGTTGTGGGGGCAAGTCCTTCTTCCCTGATTTGGCGGGAACTCGTTCGAAAAGGCGGTCCTGAGGGCTTAGGGCTGGCTTTTAGAAGGGTCAAAAGTGCCCGTAAAATGCGCGTAAAATCTTTTGGGCCATGGTGTGGCCTGGCGGGGTCGGAGTTTCTTCGATTGATTGGGTCGAGTCCGCCTGATTTAGGGAGACTGTGGTAGAGACTGGGTAGAGATCGAGTTGTTTGAGGCGTCAAAAAGCATATCTAGACCTTCCTTGTGGTCTCTAAGGGTCCCTGCTCAAGCCTTGGAGGGCAGTGAAGAGTCTCTAAGGGTCCTGCTCAAGGCTTGGAGGGCAGTGAAGGGCCTCTAAGGGTCCCTGCTCAAGGTTTGGAGGGCAGTGAAGGGTCTCTACTGCTGGGGATTCCCTGCTCAAGGCTTGGAGGGCAGTGAAGGGCCTCTAAGGCTCCCTGCTGAGGCAGTGAAGAGCCTCTAAGGGTCCTGCTCAAGGCTTGGAGGGCAGTGAAGGGTTCCTGCTGAGGGTTTAGGGAGGCAGTGAAGGGCCTCTAAGGGTAGGAGCCCCGGTGAAACCCCAACCGCCCAGGTGAAAGCCCAACCGCCCGTCAGGAGCCCAGGTGAAACCCCAACCGCCCGTCAGGAGCCCAGGTGAAACCCCAACCGCCCGTCAGGAGCCCAGGTGAAACCCCAACCGCCCGTCAGGGAGCCCAGGTGAAACCCCAACCGCCCGTCAGGAGCCCAGGTGAAACCCCAACCGCCCGTCAGGAGCCCAGGTGAAACCCCAACCGCCCGTCAGGAGCCCAGGTGAAACCCCAACCGCCCGTCAGGAGCCCAGGTGAAACCCAACCGCCCGTCAGGAGAAACCCCAACCGCCCGTCAGGAGCCCAGGTGAAACCCCAACCGCCCGTCAGGAGCCCAGGTGAGCCCAGGTGAGCCCAGGTGAAACCCCAACCGCCCGCCCAGGTCAGGAGCCGTCAGGTGAAACCCCAACCGCCCGTCAGGAGCCCAGGTGAAACCCCAACCGCCCGTCAGGAGCCCAGGTGAAACCCCAACCGCCCGTCAGGAGCCCAGGTGAAACCCCAACCGCCCGTCAGGAGCCCAGGTGAAACCCCAACCGCCCGTCAGGAGCCCAGGTGAAACCCCAACCGCCCGTCAGGAGCCCAGGTGAAACCCCAACCGCCCGTCAGGAGCCCAGGTGAAACCCCAACCGCCCGTCAGGAGCCCAGGTGAAACCCCAACCGCCCGTCAGGAGCCCAGGTGAAACCCCAACCGCCCGTCAGGAGCCCAGGTGAAACCCCAACCGCCCGCGAGGAGCTGAAAACCATCCCCTTTTACCCTCACCTGCCCTCCTGCGCCCCCTGCCGCGTTTCACCTGCCCTCCTGCGCCGCCCTGCCGCGTTTCACCTGCCCTCCTGCGCCCCCTGCCGGGTTTCACCTGCCCTCCTGCGCCCCCTGCCGCGTTTCACCTGCCCTCCGTTTCACCTGCCCTCCTGCGCCCCCTGCCGGGTTTCACCTGCCCTCCTGCGCCCCCTGCCGGGTTTCACCTGCCCTCCTGCGCCCCCTGCCGGGTTTCACCTGCCCTCCTGCGCCCCCTGCCGGGTTTCACCCGGGTTTCACCTGCCCTCCTGCGCCCCCTTCCCGGGTTTCACCTGCCCTCCTGCGCCCCCTTCCTGGGTTTCACCTGCCCTCCTGCGCCTCCCTGCCGCGTTTCACCTGCCCTCCTGCGCCCCCTGCCCGGGTTTCACCTGCCCTCCTGTGCCCCCCTTCCTGGGTTTCACCTGCCCTCCCGCGGCCCCCTTCCTGGGTTTCACCTGCCCTCCTGCGCCCCCCCTTCCTGGGTTTCACCTGCCCTCCCGCCCCCCTCCCGGGTTTCACCTGCCCTCCCGCGCCTTAGAGCCACGATTACGTTACCATCACACAACATCACAAAGACAGCCCTAAACCCGAAACCCTGCCTCTTGTCGAAGATGTCGAACGAGAAGACGAACACGATGTCGAACCTGACCACACGAAGGGGCCCCGGGGGTCCGGGAGGGGGATGGGGCGCAGGGCACTCTAGAGTTACAGCGGGGAGGGGAGGAAGGGCAGCACAGGGCACTCCTGGGCGCACACTGACCAGCTGCCTCGGAGCCCCTTGCCTACCAACTTAAACCCTAAACCCTGAACCTCTGCGGCGTCCGACTCGCAGCGACGACGTCGAAGAGGAACCTGAGCGGCGAGAGGGGACACAGGGTACTCAGAGTTACAGGAAGGGGGGTTTAAGGGTGGTAGACAGCGCAGGGCCCTCCTGACATCAGACCTCGCTGCCTCAGAGCCTGCCAACCCTAAACCCTAAACCCTGAAACCTCTGTGGCGCCCGGCAGTCGGACACTACCTCCTTGTGTCAGGACGTGTGCTGCCTTGCTAAGATGCAGTAGCCGTTTGTCTCCTTTGGCGTGGCCTGCTGCTGCTGCTTGATGCACCGACGCTTCGAGGGAGCGAGCGCGGCCCAAGCACTCTAGCAAAAAACGCGCACAAAAAAAAAACATGCCAAAAAACTATGCGAAAATCAAGCAAAGTCATGCCAAAATCATGCGAAAATCCAGCACGAACATGCAGAACAAAAAATACCAACGTTTAGGGTTTAGGAGCAGTGACGAGTTTCTAGGCCGCTGCCATGCATCACTGAAAGCCCTCGTCTCTCTCTCTTGCTGAAGGCTTTTTAATTGCACTTCTGCGCGCCCGCAGCAGGCCTCGCAAGAGACCCTTCTTTCTGAAGCTTTGCGGAGCGTCTTGCAGCATTCTAGTTGCCGAGCTGGAAATGGGTCGCTGCGCGCCGCAATTGCATTTCCGAAATCCACGCCCCTGCAGAAACGTGTTTTTCTAGAAGCTAGGGAAAACGGCTATATGTGCATTCCATGCCGGTGGCTCAGTAGCCTCAACCAAGCATTTTGGTCGCATGCCCATCTATTGACGAGAATCTCCTAGCAGGGGCAACAGGGCAATTCATGCCTGCAACTAACGGCTGCTTCGCACCACATTCTGGATGACAGCATCCCGCTGGGACCTCAGTGAAAATCATGCAATCGCCAGCTCCGAACCAGCACATGCTCGAAGGAACAAGGCAACATGCAGGCTCTTGAGCGATGACCAAGAAGATTTACTCAATGCCACACCAGCAATAGGACGCAGCTTTTTCGAATGATGCTCTATGCAAGAGCGACAACACTGTCCTCTATCGTTTGCTTGCTGATATTTTCTTTGCCGACGGCTTTCTCGACCTCTTCCTCCTTGCCCACTTCTTTTGCGCAGCATAGTTGCTATTGGGGCGCGCGAGATGTGTTGGAAACGGAGCCAAATGTTGCAAACTCCTCAGCAGGAACGTAGGAGTCTGTTGCAAAAACGCTGGTCGACTCAAAGTAGGAAGAGTCTCGTTGCGGGGGATGCTCTCCACAAGCACCAGTTCGACGCTGACGTCAACAGCAGTCCTGGGCTGACTGAACTTCCCAAGGCTGAACGCATTAGGGCCAGCTTGCTCTGACACAAGTAGGCACAGCCATCCAAGAACTTCTTCGGCTCGAGAGAAGGCGGCACGCCTATGTGTAGAGTTGTTGCATGTGACTCCCAGTGTTGAAATCACTGGAAGCATGTCTGCTTTGCTCTTCCTGTTTTTCGCCTGTATCAGGCGAACCAAGGGCAAAGTGCTTCCATGCCTCCTCCGAAGAACAATTATGTCGGCACCTTGGGCATTGGGCCCGTTGCGCAGCACCACCGTCTGGCTGGCATTCAAAGCTGCCAGAACCTCCTGAAATTGTTCTTGTGGCACGCCTGGCATGTTCAGCTGGTTCAATTGCGGAGGCAGCGCATGTGGTAGAGTCAAAGCGATGGCCTTCCGGCCCGTCAGCACCTCTGAGAAGCGTCTTTCCGCCTCCATTATGACCGCCTCCAGCGAATCCCCGTCCTGCGGGACCACCTCGGGCACATCGAAAGCTGCCAACAGCATGTGTGCCAAAGCAGGTGAAGACTCGAAAATCAGGTGATCCCGATACGTCTTGCTTCGCGGATCTTGCTCAAGCATACCTTGGGCTTGGCTATAGCTTGAAACGTTGCACAGCCCGAGGCTTACACACTCTACAGCTTCCTGAAGCGTCGGCATCGTGTCTGGTGACAGAAGGTCGGTGTGCATCAAAAGTTTGAGCGCCCGGTTGGCAATGTTTTCCCGATCTCGAGGAGTCTTCAATCGCTGCAAGCCGTTCGTTGTTCTGTACATCAAGGGCACGTAGCAGCCCGTGGCTGCTGGGTAGCGCTTCCAAATTGAGACTGCACTCTTGGGGCTGACCTCCTTTGGCGCCCAAGTGAAATGGCGCAGCATTTCAATCAGGAACCATGCCGTTCGGGCGTTGCTAAGGTATGGGCGCAGGGACGCGACTTGCAAGTCCTTCAAGTGCACGCCCGTGTTCTTGTCCAACTCGTGTGTCAGCAGCCTGTTGAGGTATGTCGTGCCCCTGACAACGCCAACATGCGTCAAGCAAACCCCTTTTGGATCAGAACTGAGCTTACTTGTACCTGGAGTCCCCAGAATGTATGCAGCAGCCGTTCCAGCCATGACAAGCTGAGCAGATATGCAATACTCCTTCTCTAGCGTCGAGTAAATTTGACCTTGCACTGCAGAGATGCCGCGAGCCAGTTCTATGCACTTGCTAACCTCATCAATGACAAACACGATGGTGCCAAGGTCTTGTTTGTTCCGGCTTGAATTGCCAAACCATGCTTCAACCACCTCTTCATGTTGCCCAAAAGCATCCTTGATCTGCGCAAAGAGCACGTTGAGAGTCCAATTCTTACACAAGGCATTGCGACTATCAATGTCCTGGTGCAGGTGTAGTGTCCTGATGTCGTCGAGGATTGGATCGTCATCGTCAATTGTCTTGCTGAAGACGCGAACTATGCACGAATTATTGCGTAACTTCAGAGCCGGCGCAAGCTGAGACTGCAGGGTCTTCCCGCTGCCACTTTCACCATAGAAGACGGGAATACAGCGCTTGCCCTTCCTCATGCCGATTGCCACATCCACCACTTCGCCGGCGACTGTGCTCTTCAACAGCTGCGCATCTTCAATGTAACCACATTTTGGTATGTCTGTTAGGAGCCTGTACACCCAAACATGCTGGTATTTGAACTCTGGATAGCTGCTGTCGTTCACGAGGTCGCGAAAGGTCAATGCCTTTCAGGGCACGGGTTGCCGTGAAACATGCCAACTGGCGTGACACTGACCACAAAACAGGCCCGCCAAAAGAAGCGTGACTAGTGCATGCCAGAGTGGCCGAAGGGTCGCTTAAGCCTTGAGCCGCATTGAACAGGAACTTAGCTTTCGCAGCCTCTAGATTGTACTGGCTCTCGAACTCATCTTGCGTGACTTCGAGCAGCTGTTCACTCAACATCCCAGTCAGCTTCGCAAGTGCCTGTAACAAGGAAAAAGAATGGATGGTACAAACGAAATTTACACCCCTGGCCTGTTGGATCTCCGAAGCGTCGTACTTGGCAGAAACCAGTTTTGCCGCAATCCATGCAGCTACTTGCTTTGGCCCGTAGCTGTTCACATCGCTCCTGGTTGCGTTGCAGGCCTGCTCAAACACCTGGGCCAGGCGGCAACCACGGCTCAGACTGCGATCGGCAAGGACATAAAGCGTGCGGCCGAGCGACCGTTATGACATCCGCATCCTGAAGAGCTGACCTCATCACACTCTTTGCATCCAGCTCGACCAGCGCCGACAGCATGTCACCTGCCAGCGCCGTCCCCGCCACATTTGGCTAACTTTCCCACAGCTCCGAGGCCGCCGCCGACCATCTTGATCCGACCCTGTGCCGGAGCAACCCGTGCTATGGAGACGACTTCAATGAACAGCCTGGCCTGATCGTCCTGTAGATTGCCTAGCTGCTTCTTGATTACATCGATGGCCTCGGCTTTCTGGGTTGCCAAAAGAAAATCAAACAGGGATCCTGAACGGCAGGCACCCTCCATAACACAACGTGGGCGAGCGTCTGCTTTCAAGAGGTCTTTGTCCTTCAGCTGCAGCTCGACCAGCGCCGACAGCATGTCACCTGCCAGCGCCGTCCCCGCCACATTTGGCTAACTTTCCCACAGCTCCGAGGCCGCCGCCGACCATCTTGATCCGACCCTGCGCCGGAGCAAGCCGTGCTATGGGCATCCATCTACGCTCCCAAGCCCCCCCGGGCCTCATCGTCAGTGCCTGCATTGCGTAGCTTCAGTTTGGCTTGTCTAATGGCCTCAGCTTGCTCCAAGACTGCGGCTAGGCTGCCCGGAAGCAACGGCACAGCTGAAAGTCAAGCGGCGACGGCCGCTTTCAGCTTCTTGATGCGCTCTATCAGGCGCCTCTGTGGACCTTTTGCCAACCCGAGGTTGTCGCGCTCTGCCACGCCCATCGTCAGCAGTTCCTTCCCGGCGTACTCTTGACCCGCAAACTCGCTGATGTCCTCGGAGCACGTTGGCGCATTGAATACCGCAAGCAGGCACAACGCTCGTCATCTCCGACCTTGGGGCCAGAGACTTGTTGGACCCATCCAATCACCTACAAGAGACGCTTCAGAGAAAGCCAGGGCAGGACCAAAGGGAACGACATAAGAACGATGCAAGGCACCTGACTTGCGTTGTAGCTCTGACACGCATCGTGTTCTTTGGCCAGCTTGCTCACCTTACAGCAAAGCAGGGTCGCCACGCCGAAACGACAAACCATTCTTGCCTCGTCATCTTCATTGTCATCACCTTCACCAGGTTGGCCATCAGCCTGAGTTTGTCCCGATGAGCTTAACACATTCTTCTCAGTTTTCCCCGCCTTGCTCGCGGCTCCGCGTGCAATGGGCAGCTTACGCGCCCACGCGCCCGCAGGAGGCCTCGCTTGGCTTTATGCTCTTCGTCGCTCCGTGTTGTCATATCCCGCCTTGCAAAGGGAACGGCCCTGACTCCAACAGCAGCCCGCACTGTCTGCACAGCTTGCCTGAAGCTGCTCGGGATCCTCTCTAACACTGGCTGAGCAGCGCCTGTCTAAGGCCTTGGCTGACACGCCCAAAACAATGCCAGCAGCGCCAGCACGCGACCAATCTTGCGCGATGCTGGAGTCCTTGCCATGGCTGCGCTCGTCCTACAGCTGTCCTCAAGAAGGCTCGAGCAGATGCGACTGAATGACATCAAAGAAGCCATGATCCCCGACTCCCTTCTGTCATCATGGGTTGGCTGCTGGTCCAGAGGCATCTGGGTGCCACACGCAAAGTGCGTTGACAAAGGACACATAATATCGCCTGCCAGGACAGCGAGATCCACAAGCGTACATAGCTAAAATCTCTCTGGCAGCAGAGAACAGAAAGTGCAAACATACATGCCACGAAGTCGAATAAAGAAGCAGGCTCGCCATGCGAGCTTACCAGGAACGCGGGTTCTCTGTGCATCTGTGAAGGCCAGACATATGAGACTGCGAACGTGAAACCCTGAATACTTGAATAATCTTGAATCCATGCGGCTCGGACGCGCCAACGTGAGAACGTGAGAACATGAGTGCGTGAGTCCAGGGGAGGACAGGCCAGGCACAAGGAGCGTGAGAACGTGAGTGCGTGAGTCCGTGGAGGACAGGCCAGGCACAGGAGCGTGAGAACGTGAGTGCGTGAGTCTGCGGGGAACCAGGCACAGGAGCGTGAGAACGTGAGTGCGTGAGACAGGCCGGGCGCGCAAGCGTGATAAAGTGAATCTGCGAATCTGCGCATCGCGAGTAGGGCACGCGAGCGTGACAAAGTGAATGAGTGAAGCTGTGGAATGCGGGTCGGGCGCACGAGTGTGAGTGTGAATTCGTGAGTCTGTGCAGCGCGAGAAGCGGACGCACGAGCGTGAAAGTGTGAATTCGTGAGTCTGTGCAGCACAAGAAGAGGACGCACGAGCGTGAGAGTGTGAATTCGTGAGTCTGTGCAGAGGACGCACGAGCGTGAGAGTGTGAATTCGTGAGCCTGTGCAGCGCGAGGAGCGGACGCACGAGCGGGAGTGTGTGAATTCGTGAGTCTGTGCCAGGAGGATCGAAAACGCGCATGCCCGCGTATCAGAAAACAAGCCCTTGCGAGTAACATTACCCAGGCACTGCCAGCAACAGGGATTCACGCACTCACTCTCTCACACTGCCTCCCAAGCGCCAGGATTCACACCCACTGAGGTTCCGCCAGCACCAAGGATTCACACATTCACGCCTTCACACCGGGCACGAGCCCACACCACCAGGGATTCATGGACTCACGCCTTCACACTGGGCGCAGGCCCCGGGCAGCAAAGATTCACGCACTCACCCACCAGCAACAGGGATTCACGCACTCACGCCTTCACAGTGGCCTGTTGCCGCCAGCAACAAGGATTCACACACTCACGCCCTCACGCCGACCCCAGCAGAGATTCACGGACTCACGCTTTCACACTCGTTACCCCGGGCCCCCAGATTCACGAATTCACACTGGCCCCCCCCCCCGTCCTCCGACATTCACGTTCACGCTCCCGTGTAGGCACGTGGGCCCCCCAAAACCCATAAAAGTCAAAGCCCTCCAGACCCCCAGCCCCCTGAGATCCTCTACCCTAAACCCCCGGCCTGCCGGCGCGCGCGAAGATTCCAGAAAGCAAACCGGCGCTGAGAACCTGAACGCGAGAGAGGGGCCCGGGGTCCCGGGGAACGGAGAAGGGCCAAGGCCGTCTAGAACTACAGGAAAGGGCAGCGCAGGGCACTCCTGAGCACGCACAGACCAGACCTCACTGCCTCGGAGCCCACTTGCCTGCCAATCAAACCCAAACCCCGAAACCTGGTAGACAGACCTCGCTACCTCAGAACCCCAACCCGCCTGCAACCTCAAAGACAACCCTGAAGCCTCTGCAGTCTCCGCGCTCGTCAAAAGAAGATGGCGAACGCAAGGTACTCTAGAATTGCAGGAAGGGGTAGGGACGGCGCAAGACAACCAAACCCCACTGCCTCGGAGCCCCAACCCACCTGCAACCAAACCGACCCTGAAGCCTTGCAGTCCAAACTTCACTTGCAGCGTGCAAACTTGCAGACCTGGCTGCCTCGGAGCCCCAACCACCTGCAACCCCCAAACAACCCTGAAGCCTCTGTGGTCACCGGCGCTCAGTTGTCAAGGCTTGCTGCGCTTGCCTGCTGTGCCTGTTGTGCCTGCTGTGCTTGCTGCGCTTGCTGCGCTTGCCGTGCTGTCGTGTTGCTTCGTGTGGTCTCGCATGCCAAGAGTCAAGCACATGCCAAGTCAACAAAAATCCACGCCAACCCCACGCAAAAATCACGAAACATGTAAAATCACAATAAAACATGCAAATTCGTGGCAACAGGGCTTATGAAAATCAAATCAACGTGCAAAACTCATGCGAAGAAACAAATAACGGCCAAAAAACCACAGAGGAGCAGACTTAAGCGGAGAAGACGTTGAGAAGAAGCTTGAGGTGGCCAAAAGGCAGATGGCCGAGCAGCCGCTTGCAGAATACTGGGACTTCGTGTATATCCGCAATCTGATGAGCAACGCCAGCCACAGGCCATTGCACGACTTTGCGCTGGCGGCCGAGCACGTGGTCGTCGCAAGGATCAAGCATCAGCTGCGGGCCGCCCCTACCCTCCTCGTCAAGACTGATTGCGTGGTGGTCCAGCAGCTGCCGAAGAAACACCTGCATCTGCTGCAAGAGCTCCAAGACCTCAAGCATCCCGACGGCAGTCAAGTCTATCGAGTCGAGGAGGTCAAGCCGCTGCTTACAGAGAGCCACAGCTTCCAGAGCACGCTATGCCTCCCGAGCTTGAATGGAGGGACATCCCCGATGCCTCGACATCCTCAACGGTGGGCAGACCCGTGCTCACTGCTTGCACGCCCCTCACGGACACGCGCGGCCATCGCGACCAACTCGGCCGTCTCCCGGCGCCGCCGGACCTCGCACCCTACGCCCTGGCGGCGGACCTGGCAGCGGCCGAGGGCCTCGTCGCAGGCAACTTTTCTGCCATTACCAGCCTGAGCACCAGCCTGACCACGGGCCTTCGCCCTGGATGCCAAAAGCCTCCGTGGATCTGAAGCTAGCAAACCATCCCACCAACGCTTCCATGAACAGCGCCATCACCAGCGCCAACAACGCCACTCTCGCCACGGCGGCTGCCAACTATACGGCCTCACGCAGGCGATTTTCCAGGCATCTCCACCGCTCTTCTCCCCGACACCGACACCAGCGGCCTGAACAGCCTGGTGGCCCTGCGCACCATGCCCGCAAACGTGGGCTACCGCGCTGCTGTTCCTGGTCGCCCACCCTCGTGCCGAGACGAGAGGCTGGACGCTGCAGAGGCAGCCCTGGCAGTGCTGTCGGCAGCAGAGGTGGCCTCCGCCCTTGCCGGACATTTTGGCGTTCCAGCACGCCGGGCCTTTCGCGACTGCACGAGCGCGCAGACGCGTCCGTGGGAGCCAGAACTCGCGGAAAACACGTGCAGATCGACTGCCAGGCGTACTCCACCGCCCAAACATACGCGCAGGCTGAGATGAACAACCAGATTTCGAACGCCGTCGACGCGCTGAACATCAGCCAGAACGCCACGCAGGCCGACATCGACAGCTCCCTCGCCTCGGCCCGAGCGACAGACGACTACCTCACCCTCACGGGCGGCGCGCTGGGCACCTACAGCGTGCTCCACATCACCAGCACCATCGTCTCGAGCCCCGCGTACCTGGAGCTCGTCGGCGGCAGCACGGGCGTGCAGGCGTAGGGGGACCTCCTACAGTACCTACAGGTCGTGTCCACCGTCAACAGCAGGGACGTGACGGTGGAGGTCGTCAACCTCGCGACGCACGGCTCCTCATCGCCTGCAACGCGGGCTCCTCCTGCCGGGGCGTGCAGCTCCACGCCCAGGACCAGGCCATCTTCCTGCGCACCGCGGCGACCGGGCCGGCGAACCTCATCGTGGAATCCAACACGGGCGGGGGCAATAATGGGGAAGTGATCGTGAATTTTGGGTTCCAAAATCTCTCGGGCGAGAAGCTGAAGCACAGCGTGGAGCCCGCGCGGCTCGAGGAGCTGCAGCAGC